TACTATTTTATATAATTATCAAAATCATATAATTCTCGCAATAATGAAATACATACACAAGAAAATGTTATGGAAAAAGAAACTTACATAATTTTGACAGCAATACAAATCAAGAATAAATGCAAAAATATACACACCAATGATGCAATGATTGGCAAAATCATGGTAAGATTATTATCATAATTTCTCCTTCCTAATAGATGCGAGACGAACATTATTGTTATGATTCTTCCTTCCTAATATGACTATGATTATTGTCATAGTTCCTCTTCCCTAATATCCTCCTTCTTAATAGATACCACCTCAATCGGTTTGATCCTGAAACTACATTAGAAGATGTAAATTGGCTGAACTTGTTGCTTTTATTCTTTCACAAGAAGTAGAGAAGAATCACAAAACTTGTGAAGAATTAGAATGTAATAGTAGTATTGTAGCACAAATATTAAAATAAAACATATGGTGAATAAGTGTCTTCCAGTGCAACATATATGGGTGTGTATATATATTCAATCAAATAAACATGATAACTAGCAAGTTCTAAGAAAACACATGTTTCTCTAAATTGAAAAATCTGTAGGATGACATGAACTATTATTGAAATTAGTAGTCACATTAACCAAAAAAATGCAGAAAAGAATCTGTAATAATTGAATAAGTAATATGTAATATACCAAACTTTGTGCATGACGATGAGCAAAATAAGCCCAAAAAGGCCTATAGATCCAACAACTATATAAAAGACCAAGTTCACATGCAGGCTTGTCTTAAGTCTTTCTTTAACCGTGAAATCGCCAGCATCTTCATAACCCTGAATAGTAGGAACCACAGCCCTGCTTAGAGAGATAAATGAAACTTAAAACGATTAATACAAACAAACTGGTAAATGGAAATATAAATCTTTATATGACCATTAGAAGACATTACAAATTGTATGTGAACATTATGAAAGCCAGTATGCAATTGAATACAATTGATATAAAAGTTTAATGTACAAACTTTTATAAAGTAGATAACACAATACAAAACCAATACCAACACTCGAACCATGTCAGAGTGGTACATAATGGTTAGTAACCCCAAAAAATATTTAAGAGGTTCTTCAAGTGTCAGTATTTTATAAAGTAGATAACACACTACGCTGCCATCCTCAAATATAATTGCCTCAACTTTACATGATAAGATACACCACAATAAACTGAAGCCTTAAGAAAGGGATAATAGACAAAAGAAAAGGTTAAAAAATGCTACATACCATGTTAGCAAAAATGTACTCCAATATGACCAACTCCAAAAGAAAGCAATGCCTCCATTATAATGTTGGGTAATTGTCTGCAAAGCAAATTAGGATATTACCATTAGGACAATACAGAGAATGAAAGGCCGATGTGCTATACATAAGCTAAATTAAACAATTATTTTATCATGTGATAGGCTAGCAGCAACAATTTCTTTTACATGGAAACAAGATTAATAGAAGGAACCTCGTAACACTATTTAAATTTATTTCTTAAATCAAGATCTAACCCATCACAATAAAGTGTTAGCAATTGTACTAAAGCTCATCATATCCATGTACAATTCCCAGTCAACAATTTCATCAATGAGAGAAGCTTTCTCGATGAATAGAAGTTTAGTAAGAAAGTTTATCCTCATGCAAGAAGGAAGCAATTCTAACAAGGCACCAGTAGATTTCAAAAATTTAAAGTCAGGAATGGTCTAGGCAAAGAGTAGAAGAGACAATGTTCAAAACAAAAACCTGTATTCATCTTTGAGGCACAAAGTTGTCATAAAGAGCTAAGTCAAAAATACAATCCCAACCTAAATCTGACCCTGTTATGATAACTAAAGGTCAACTGAATAACTAGCTGTCAATGATCTCATCATGATTAACATAAGCCACTATTATTTCAAGAAGACAGGATCTGAACTTGATGAGATTTACAGCTCCATTGTCTTAGAGAGAATTTACTCCATAGACTTTACAACAAGATCCAAATTTATATAGAAAGTTTCACGATTGAGATCATCTATCGTAAATAAACCACAATGAAGATATCAAGCTTCTTCAACCTGTAGCAATCTCATTTACTGGGCTATAATTTTAATCAATTTAAGCACTTACAATAAATTCTTGTGGAGCATCAACAACATCTAAATTTCATATGGAAATCCTAGCCAATTCTACAACCCCAGAACATCAAATCAAGAAAAAGCAAACAAAAATAACGCTTGGTCTTCCCAAATATACAGATGGAATCAACCTTAGAAAGAATAAATCAAAAACCAAAACAAAAGGAGAATTGCCACATCAGTCGATACAACATGAAGATCAGCACGATCCGGGGATAAAACAGAACCGATTCAATCAAATTCAATCACGAATCGTACAACTCGATCGAATCCAATAACCAAATTCAACCGAAGGGAAAAGAGAAGAAAGAGGAAGAAGCAAACAGGCGAGATCGTACGGTCCAGATGTCGGCGGGGACGAGGATGATAATGGAGAGGGAGCAGAACCAGGCGTATCCGACGGTGAGGATCACGTAACGAGGCACGTCCGGCCCCGCGAAGTAGCGCAAGGTTATCGTTACCATCCCCAAGGTGAGCGGCAGCGATATCAAATAGAACACCCACATGTTGTCTTTTCCTTTTCCCCTTTCCCTTCCCTTCTCTTCTCCTTCTCCTCCTCCTCCGGCTCCGCCCTGTGCGTGTTGTTCTTCTCCGCCTCCCGGGGCACGATGGTGGAACGGGTCAAAGAGGAGCAGATCCGATTTCACGAGCCGACGACTAGGGGATGAGGGAGGGGGCCGAGGAGAAGGCAGCGACGGAGAGGAAAGCCGAATGCCATTGGCGATCTCTGTTGAATATATAATGTATTATAATTACGTAATAATACAAAAGAAAGAACTTTTCACTTATACCCTTCATGTATACATATCTTCCTATATACTCCTCAAAAACATCGTCGGCATTATGAACATATAACTCTTTAAAGTTTATATTCGCAAGTACGCCCTCAGAAGTACTGTATATACACATTTCATAGTTCAAATTTGTCGTTGACAGCACTCTCATGGATGATTTCCGAAATATCAAATATTTAATAAATCCTGAACGCAATATTAAAAGAAAAGAAAATAAAATAAAATAAATAATCTACCTAATTTCAATTTCCTAACAAAATTAGAATTAGTATACAAAGATTAATGCTAACTTTACAATTAGTTTGCCGGAAAGACTATCTACGTTGACTTTTTTTTGGGATCGAATATTGTGCATTTTTCACCATAAATATCGGATAAATAAATGCATAACGAATATGAAATTTCATGAATTCTAAAAAAACTCATCTTTTTTTTCAAGAAGTGCTTTTCATCATTTTTTTTTCTATTTTTCTTCCTTGTGATAACTTCTTCTCGTCTTCTTCTATCACCAATAATAATATTCAAGAATGAGAGACAGAAGAAAGGAGAAAAAAATAATAATTTTGAAGGGATTATTAATAGTAAAAGTTTTCAATACAAATAAAGAGGATGTTAATAACAATCTTTTTTCAGAATTTGTAAATAATATATATTTTTTTTTTATCTAATATCTAGAATTTTTTTTTTTTGCTATAGATCGATCCATATGAAACCAATATAGTTAGTGTTTTTATACTGTATTATAATATTTTCAGTGATACCAGAATAATGATGTAACATAATACAAATATTATAAAATATTATATTTATAGTATTTTTCAACTAAATTATAATATTTTTCGTAATACCACAAAAAGGCTATAATGTAATACACAAACATTGTAAAATATTATACATAGTATTTTTATTTTAACAAATTTAAAAACATAATAGAATATAAAAATATTATATTTTTGTACTGTATTATAATTTTTTGGTACTTTATTGAAATCACCATAATATAATATAAAATAAAAATTGATTGAGGATATTTTAGGTATTAGATAAAATAAAATATTTTTTAAAAAATTATATATATATATATATATATATTTCGAAAAAATCCAAAAAGGAAAAAGTCTTTTTTCGAGAATTCCTGAGCGTCCATACATCGGATGGAATATTTGTATGTTTGGGGGGTGGGTGTGGTTTTGGGTATACAATCAAAGAGAAGAGGCTGATGGAACGGCACTTCAAGTCGGGAACAGAAATCACGTGATCGACGGCCGAGATCTATTTCGTCACTGGGAATATCACGAACGTGGGAATCGGTCTCATCACCTCTTTTTGTCTCAATTATTTTTCCCCTCCGCTTGTTTGCTACCCGCGGTGGGAAAGGGCAGTTCGGCGAGCGGGTACGTCAGAAACGGGTCCCGAAGCAGCGCTCTACGTTTTCTTTACTTTTTTCTGACGTCAGCCACCAAGCCATCGAAAGAAAGCCATGATCAATCACTAATAACTTCAAAATCATGCTTGCATGGAACATTAATGCTGGTCAACTAAGATCATATATGTCGTATACATTGATCACTGCTCGAAACATATGTCATGCATGACAATAGAGAAATAATGAAAATAATAACATATATTAAAAGGTCAACATCTCTATTCGTAACCGCTGCAGGACATAAACATAATAAATAGGCTCAGACATATGTTATGAGAGAGGCGCCACACCTCGATCGCTGCACTTTAGGTGAGAGTGCGCGGGTCGAACGATGGCGAGTAAACTTAAGCATCGTTCACCTATATAACGCTTGGCCCACCTTGTACTTACTTGGTGAGATGGCCAGCGGTAGACAAGGCTGTTTGCTGTTATTTGCATTATAACGTATCTTAGGAGCATGTAAAATGCATCTCCGCCAGCAACTTACCGATTGACCGCCTCCAATATCCGTGGACGAGCGGTCCGACCAATAGAAGGCCCCGATCAACGCTTCTCGATCCGACTGTCTATCCAAAATCACATCTCTGCCGTTAGTTGGCATGGAAGAAACACAAGGAGCGAGATCTTGACCGTCCACAGGTTCCTCGAGTGAAAATAAAATATGGCCCAACTCTGGCTTTAGCTGATAAATAGCATCCACCTGCTCACGGGGGTCTCTTTGGCCCTTTTTCGCTTCGAAACTTCGTCAGTGGGGAAGGAGAAGGACGAGGGCCAAACGTGGTAATCCAGCTCTTTTCTTCTGATCCGTTATATTTATTTTATACGTGGTTTGATTTCTATATAATTTATTTTCCGATCTCGTTGCGATATTTGTTAGGTTTATGATTCTTTTAGGTTTGAGGATTTCTCGTTCTAGGGTTATATGACCTTGATCTTTTAGAATCCCTCGTTTCCTGGTGTAGAGCTGATGTCTTTTGTTTGTGCGTGTGAGTGGAGTTCTAAAAGTTGTTGTTTCAATGGTTTGGTGACGGGCCGCCGTTGCTGGGATTGATTTCCCTTTTTCCGCGTCGTAATGTCTTCCACTTTACCGGCCTCTTTGCTTTAGTTTGCGCATCACAATTGTTGTAACTGTACGAGACCACTACCTTTGCATGGCCTGTCTGCCTGAGTGTGCTCCTCGGCTGCATGTCGTCCGAGACCACTACCTCTGCGCGGTCTGTGAGTCGTGCTCCTCGGCTCCATGCTGCCCGAGACCACAACCTCTGCGCGGCCTGATCGCCTGAGTCGTGCTCCTCGGCTCCATGCTGCCCGAGACCACTACCTCTGCGTGGCTTGCCCGCCTGAGTCGTGCTCCTCGGTTGCATGTCGCCCGAGACCACTAACTCTGCCCGGCCTGCCCGCTTGAGTCGTGCTCCTCGGTTGCATGTCGCC